AGGCCTGGACAACAATAGCTCAGGAATGCATACATAAATATAATGACACTGTACATTGTGTCACCGGATTCACCCCAAGGTATTTATTGAATGGAACAGATGCTCAAATTTTACCAAACGAATTAAAAGAAACAATATCGAAAGATGATTGGATAAAGGATAAAAAGGAAGCACTTCAAAATACAATCAAATCACATGCCTATAACAAACATTTGTATGACAAAAATCGTATAAAATATGACTTTAACGTAGACAAGGTTTATGTTGAAAATGGAAATAAACTTAACAGGAAAAAACTAGATGAACTGAGAATCGGACCTTTTGAAATTATAGAAAAAGTATCTTCTACAATATATACGATAAACACAGGAAGGAAAAAATCAGAATCAAGTCTATTTCACGTATCAAAGCTCATCCCGGCTCCTATATATGATGGATGTTCTTAAAATTTTATATATGTAAAATTTTCAGGAAAATTTTCCGTCCCAGGGGGGGAGATGTAAAGAAAATGTATTTCTTTAATTAGATTTAAACGTCGCGCCCAATCAAGTTTATCCATTAGTCCGTAGGGGGAGAGCGCGTAGCAGGAAAATCGTAATAGAAAACACGAGCGCGACGTGGCAGTCAAGAATAAGCACGAAGTGCAATAGATAGATTAATCGTAATTAAATCCAAAGATTGTAAACCCAAAATTGTAAAAGGGAACGACAGTGATAATTATAAACCTTAGTGTCGTTTCTTTGTTTTACAGGTAGGAATTTATATCCAAGTTGTTTTTGTGAAATTTCAAGTGTTTAAAAAAATAATAAAATTCTTTGTTTTACAGAGCAACACATGAGTTTATTATAGTTCCCAAATTATCAAAATAATAACATAATATACATACTAGAGTGGGTGAATCGGCTTGTGAGTTTCGACGATTTAGGGAGCCGGACCAAAGGTTCAACCATAATGGTGGGGTTCGTTAGGAAAAACCAGACTAAGACAAGTCAAGTGTAATATTTCACGAGTAAAAGCGTGAAATGTTAGGACAATGACACAAGTCGGGAAATTAGAAAATATGAAAGTTGAAATGAATAGATTAGAATTAGATATAGTATACATTAGTGAAGTCCGTTGGTCAGAGACTTCTGGAGTGGAGACTTAGAATAATACATACACGATCGGTGGAAGGTAATGCGGGGTTGGAATTGTAATGCGTAGGTAAGCAGAACAGCGTATAGGAAGTTATTTTTAAACACGCGATAGGATAGTTATGGTTAAACTAAACTTGAAACTGATAAAAACGGTAATAGTGCAGGTCTACATGCCTACATCATCTTACAATGATGAAGACGTAGAAGCGATTTATGCAGATATAGAAAACGTGTTAAATGTAGTGAGAGGGCAGGAAAACCTAATAGTTGTAGGAAACTACAACGCAGTAGTAGGTGAAGGTAAAGACGATGCAATAGCGGGTTCTTCTACATTAAGGAATAGAAATGATGGTTAGACTGATAGAATTTTGCGTTAAACATAACTTAACCGTCGCGAATACTTTATTCAACCATCACGTTAAGAGGCACTATACGTGGAAGATACCAGGTGATCTAGAGAGATATCAGTAAGATAAACGGCATCTACCTGAGATCCCCCAAGCAGTGCTTCATATAAAAATTGCTCGTAAATTAATAAATTCGAGAGAGTCGATCTACGGTTAGTGAAACCGTGTTGCTAGTCAATGATAACAGACTTTACTTGCTCACCTAACTTATCACAAAGTAACCGATCGAGAAGTTTAGGTACAGAGTTCATAATTGAAATTGGTCGATAATTTTTCGCTGCATTCCTACTTCCACTATTTTAGGAGTTACATGTGCTTGCTTCCAAATTTTAGGAACGTATCCTTCCCTTAGAGACCTATTAATGAACGATGTTATGGGCCTAAACAGGGCCGATTTACACCTGTTACCAGGATGATTGGTGGTATTTCGTCCGGGCCAGCCCCTTAATGAGGTTTAATTACGTTAATACCTCTTGAGACATCTGCCTCGTCAATTGTTATTTTCTCCAAAGAAGAATAAAAGTACTCTAATAGGAGATTTGACAAAGTATTTGGATTTTCATAGGGCATTTGATTCAGTGAACCATTCGAGATTGTTAAAAAAAATGTATATTACGGCAAAAATGGTTAATTATTAAATTGCATTGGTAGTTATTTAAATGACAGATATCAGATGGTTAGGTATAAGAATCTTAGAATTGGTGTGGTCTCGGGGGTGCCACAAGGTTCACACCTGGGTCTACTTCTCTTCAATTTGTATATAAGTGACATAAGTAAATGTTTTTAAAAATTTTAATTGGTTTTAATGCCGATGACATAAAGGCGTACAAAAGTGTGTCCTCTATCAGCGATGGTTTGGTTTGCAAGAGGACCTTAATAGGGTTTCTAGATGGTTCAATGAAAGCGGACTTATACTTAATTTGTTGTGAAAGACAGGGGGGGTGTGGTTCGACGAATGTCTTAACATTAATGCTCGTATGGATTATGCTATGAATAGATCATTTAATTAATCTGTTTTATAAAAATACAGGGCTGACGTTATTATGGAAGTAGTATTTATAGATCAGGAAAGGTACAAAATGCAATCTAACTATTAAGAAAGGAATCGATATAATCTCTGAATTGCAATTATTTGCAACTTCGTCCAACAATTATAATCCCAAAGTTATATACTTTTTGAATATTATAACATTATGAATACATTTAAAGTAAATACAGATGAGATTGGTTTAGGTAATTTAAAGCATTATTATACATTATACAATCATTATAATATAAGGGGTTCCAAACGATTTGTAACTCCGAACATGACCTCAAATTTTTTCTTAAATGCTCCGCTATATAGACTATGTATCGAAGCTAACAGATGTATAGGAGACTCGGATTTCAGTGTGAACTCA